GCCTTTGAGCAGGCTGGTATCCGTTTGGCCCAGTCATGTCACCGCCGCCTGATCGCATGGCCTTCTGGAACGGTCGGCATCGTGTTCAGCTTCGCTTACCTACTTTCAGCAAATGGCGTCGGGCTGGTCCGCCGTGCTTATCTCTTTCTCCTCAGTTCGACATCATAATGACCTTCCGTCTTCGTGATTTTGCATATCCGTGTGCGAAGATGGGCTTGGTGCTAGCCCTGCAGACTCAGGCCCGGAATGTGTATCGATTCCAGGGTCAGCCAACGAAGCTCGGTTGGCAGCCGGCTACTGGCTGTTCGATCCTCCGCCAGAGCACCACACGGCTATTCGAGGTTTGCTTGACGCCTCCGTGTGACGACAGCTGACATTTTACTTAGGCAGTCATTCACACGAGATATACGATGTTGTAGTCGATTCCGCACCGGCATCACATCGGGAAATACGCTCGTCACAGAGAAGTATAAGTAGCTGGTGGATAACGCAGTCGAAAGACACGCAACACATCATTCGAAACGCATCGGCCCCAGTATCGCATCTTGCCTCAGATTTAAATATCCGATCAACATTCTCAATAGGCACCGTCAAACCGCCAACATGCAGATCAAAGCCAGCATCATCGCCGCTCTAGCCCTTACTACCCCTCTCGTTTCTGCTGTTGGCAAGGCTCGCGTGGTGAATAACTGCGACTACGAAGTCAGCGTCTGGTCCGTCGGCAGCGCTATCGCTGGTCCTTATCGCTTGGCCCCTAAGTCTGGGTCTTACGCCGAGACCTTTATCAAAGACCCTAAGACTGGCGGCAAGGCCATCAAGATCACAACCGCTCGCGACGGCCTCTACACTGGCGCTCCGCAGCTCAACTTCGCCTACTCCCTTGACGGCGCCAAGATCTGGTATGATCTTAGCAGTGTCTTTGGTGACGCCTTCAAGGGCAAGAAGCTCGTCGAGAGAAGCGCCGACTCGACCTGCCCCGCGATCACCTGGGCCAACGGCACTCCTCCAGCTGGCAGTCAGGTCAAGACCTGTACGTCTGCCAAGGATGTCACCCTAACTCTCTGTGCGTGAGCCAGGCTCGAGAACGGATAGGTACATGAGGACGATGTTCTATATTCATGGATATAATCTTTTTGGCGATAATGATTAGTCTATGTTTTACCTTGTATTCGTCGCAAAGAGTGCATAGTGCCTGACGATACCACCACGCCTCAGAGTCACAACATGAGCTTCCACTGATAGCAATCCTCACTCTTTCTGTCAGTGTTCTCTTTGTAAGCTGCTAGGTAGTTACAGCCTGCTCAGAAGCCGCAGCGCCAGGAAGCCCGGCGGTGAAGGCGCCGGACCAACGGCCGACCAAGAATCTGCCAGACCCAAGAGGGCCAGTCTCTCGCAGCTTGGCTGCCCGCGAGGGACAGTGACCTCTAGCAAGCGGGAGTTGTGGGACATAGCCCACCACCGACTAAGAGCAAGATGAGGACCAGGGGGAGCCCGCCTCGTGGAAAGACTACTGGCACCATAGGGGACGGTTGAAACATCGGATATTCAGGGCCGACGCGCGTCTAGTTGGTGAATTCGTCGCTGCGTTTGATGCCCTGGTTCAAAAGAAAAGCAAAGAACGAATAGTGAGATTATGCAAATATCGCTGTTAGCTAGCGCGTTGCAGCGGCAGGCGGAAACCGGAAATTCCTTGGCGGTGCAGTGTCACCTGAATGATTTGACGATTCCACGCCGAAGGACTGCGCTGCAGGCTCGGAGATTCGCTGCAGTTGCAGCTGCATTCCATGATGGGAATGTCCCACTGATTGGGCTTTGGGGTCGAACGACCGTATATCGGAGATGCTAGGATGCCATTGGCCATACCGGGCGCTGCTACTTTCGAGATTGTACCAGTCGTTATTGTCGCCGCGCTGTACGAGGCAGAGAAGCCTATTGAGGATGACGAATTCCATCTTGAGCTTGATGCTGTACACGACAGGTTTGTAGGTTGTCTGAATCTGGAAGTTGCCTGTGTACTGGGTCACCAGCAGACTGATATCGAGGACAATGACGAAAACGTTGACGATGACGAGGTTCCTAATAATCTGGCGCTCCCTTGGTAGTTTGATGGCGAGGATTGGCCTGAGGGAGCGAAGACTTTCGAGAATGTAGAATCCTGATATGAGGCACTCCTGGATGCAGAACCCCGCGAGCTGGACGCGCTCATAGACGTCAAAGGCCCGAATAAATGTTGCGGTGTGCTGAGTATTGCTGCCGAGGAAGAGAACGGTGACAGGGACGTGGAAGATGCAGAAGCTCGTGACGATCATGACGAGGATCCACCGAGTCTTTGTCTTATCCGGTTCGACAAGGTGAATGCGCGAGTAGAGGACAACAGAGAAGCCTGTCACCATGCCGTACCATCCGACGCATGTCAGGACTGCCAGGATGAAATTAGGCCCCAAAGCGTAATAGCGAAGTAGTACGACGATCGTGTGGAGGAGGATCCCAAGGGTCGTAACCAGCATGCTCCAAAAGTATAAACTTTTTGGCCTCTTGAATCGGTCGAGGAGGGTGATCAAGATCTCGAAACAGTTGAAGCAGGCAATAGCGAAAAAGCCGGCTATGATCATATTGATCGGTAGCGAACTTGAGATGGGACCCGTCTCCCCAGCCATGCTTTCGATATCGCCAAGCCCAACATCCGGTTTAAAGGCGAGCTGCAGACGAGAAGTGAAAGGTTTCTTTGGATGAAGTGGGATTCGCGGACAATGCTTCTCGGTCGAAGGCCATACTGGCAAGATTGGAAGGTTACGTCGGGGTCGACTCGGGGGTGGAAGGCTTCTACATAGCCTGAATCACACAAGTCACCATAATCGCAGATGGTCTGGTCTGGCTTTCAGAGTCTGGACCAAGACGAGTCAGGGGGCCTCTGCGCTGCACAGGGACTGGCACAGGCAGAAGTTGTTCGTTGCCGCCGGCTCTTCAGCTGTCACTGTGGCGTTCGTGGTCCCGACCGGCAGCGCATCCTGTTCGTCGCTGGCAAGAGATCCTCGACTGATGAGAGCCATCACGGATCCGCCACAAATTTAGAGTTTGGGCTCGAGCTCAGGTATTCCGGAGACTCCGTGATCCCGGCAGACGAAGGTCAACCCTACCGAAGCTGGCAAGAAAAACGGCTGAGGATGCCAATAAGCAGCTGCCACTGCCGGGCATGTAGTCGAACAACACACGAGCAAACGAGGCCCACGGCACACTTGATTGCGTGGTACTGTCCATCGGCTTTTACGAGATAGACAAGAGGGCTTTCAGCGCTCGTCCCTCCAATTATTCCCTGGGGAATAGCCCCTGCATCTGTCTTGTGTCCTAGAGCCGTTGTGGTGTGTACTGGATACTTTGGTACATCTCCACAGGCCATCCCTGCTCCACTTGCGCCAGCCTGCTGCGTTACCGTAGCGGCGTAGTCCACCAGGGACCACCCTTGAGCCAGATCAAGCCAGGCTGAGTATTTATTACTCATGGCGGCGCTGATACCTCGGGTTCCACGGCTCAGGGCTCATCGCCTCCTGCCATGGACTCCTCAGTTCTATCTCCGTTCGCGATACCATCTGCTGCACAGATACACTTCAGGGGCTTCCCAGGTGCCTCCAACTCTTTTTTTCTTTCCCAGACGGCAGAACGCTTTTGGGTCACTTGATTTGTTACATGAGTCAATTTCACACTCGTCGCTCGTGCCAAGACTGCCACAACTGGTCGTATGACGAGAACGTGATGAACAGAGCCGCCACAGAGCAGCCAACTAAGTGTGGTGCGACCACACTCCATGATTTCTCTGGAGATGTAGCACCAACATGAAATGCCGAAAGATACGCCTCTGGGCCTAGACCATGGACCGAGATTGTTGACCAAACGTTCCATGGTTGCTCTACCGTCGCTTGGTCGCCTGCCTGCTATAACTTTTCGTCCCGATAGAGCTAATTTACGACGAGGAAATTCTCTGTTGACGATCGTCGGAGAGCTCAAGATAGCTTATAATACGTCTCTTCTTCCGCGGTGAAAGACCATAGATCGCCCACAATTCACAATACCGGCCGGAAGTGTCCATCCTTTGTCTGCCGCGGACATGATTGATCCACAATCCGGCGATCCCTCACGAATGGTCAATAAGTGCTGCTGTAAGATCTTCACGTCACATCGAAAATCGGTCCGTTCCCCTACCTACCCCTTTGACAGGCCACTTGTGCTCTTGGACCTCCACAAACTCACTTTTCCAAGGAGTGGATGAGCTTCCACATTACAGCTACCCTGTTGATAACGTCGCATGTTCGCCAAGCGTGTCGTGCTGGATCTTCTCTGAACAGTAGTCCGGCCGCCCGGGAATGTGCAGACAAGTAAATCTTTAGAGTAAGATGGACGCTCACTACAGGGAAGCTTTAAGCACCACGCACACAAGAACTTCTCAGCAGGTCGGCACGTCAATCGAAGCAGGGGTCTGCACGAAGCTGACCACGCTAAAGCAGGCGTCGCATAACGCTGTATCCACTTACAGGATTTAGCGGATTGGGGGCGATGAACCGCTGGGCTTCAGATGGCATGACCTGCAGTAGACCAAACGCCGTCGGGATACTATCGGCGCCCGTTGTCACCAGCCCAATTCAGGGGCATCAGGCAGACTAGGGACCAGGGTCTTCCAGTGCGAACAGACTTACGTCGTTGATCCCTATGACACTGGATCTCCGTGCATCCTCATCTACCAGCTCGATGGTGTCGCCTTAGTCGATGAACTCGAGGACAGCCACCTTCATACCATGAGACATGCGGGTCTGGAGTGGCGTACCGGGGGTGGATCGTGGTGTTGATGAAAAAGGGACAAGGGGGAGGCCGGAGATATATACCATGACCTGCCTTGTCAACCATCTTGCGAAACTATTTGCTGGACCAGCTTTTGGGGCTCACACGCTTTCATAACTTGATTATGAAAGTCCCGACTGCTCAGCATCAGTTCTTGTCCGCCAGCCCCCATGTACACACGCTCTGAAGACACAGCCGGAGGTGTTGAGAAGATGAGCAACCACTCAGTGGATGACGAGTCTCGTTTCACAGAGATCTGCACGATCTTGTCGGTTTTCTGTGCGTTGTCGACCATCGCTGTCACGCTTCGTTCTTATACGCGACTGGTCCTTCTTCACACCTTTGGCTGGGATGATGGAGTTATGGTGGGTGCCCAGATCCTGGCCATCGCCGCCGCCGTGACTATTGGCCTAGGTAAGACGCCGCCTGATCCCTAGAGATGCAAGCCAGGCTAATTGGGGTTCGCAGAGAGCAAATGGGGTCTCGGATCACACACTTGGGTTCAGCCTGAAGCACACCTTTTCCCATACATGAAGGTATGGCAAGACTCGGGGCATGACTTCCATCCAAACCCTCGTCATCCATATGCTAAGTCACAGCGATAGGCCTTTTACAGCTCCATTATAGTGTACAACATGTCCATGTGTCTCGTCAAAATTTCTATCCTACTCCAATACCGGCGAATTTTTGCTCTCCGGATGATGCAACGCATTACCTTCTACGCTGTCGCGTTTATGGTTGCTTGGTCAATCACAATCTTCTTCCTCCTGACACTCGTCTGCATCCCAGTCGCCAAGTTCTGGGACCACGCTTTGCCGGGTAGATGCCTGGACTCGTTGACCATTTGGTATGTCATGGCCGCTTTCAACCTGGTCTCCGATTTCGCCATTTTCGGCCTGCCGCTGCCGGTAGTTCGGTCCCTTCAGTTACCCAAGAAGCAAAAGGTGATGCTATTCGCGGTCTTTGGCCTCGGGTTCTTGTAAGTGTCTCTGCATTTTGACAGATACTTTCCTCGTCGAGCCGGTTTTGACGTACCATTGTGACAGCACCTGCATCATCTCCATTATTCGCATCCGCACTCTCAAGATCGCGGCTTCGACAGATGACCCTAACTGGGACAATGTGGATGCGGCAACCTGGTCATATCTTGAAGTCACAACTGCCATCCTCGCGGCTTGTTTACCGACGCTAAGACCAGTCTTCGCCAAGATCATGCCCAGTCTGATGGGCTCCTCCATAAGAGGAAACCAAGGTCGATCTCAGTGCGGTGCATATATTCATGCTCCAGACGGCAGCACGAACACGATTCCGAACAAGACAAGAGTCACATCCGTCACTGTCCCTGCGTCAGACAGCACTTGGTCTCTCCAAGGCCAAGATAGAATCGAGCTGGTCACGCAGGACGCTGGAAGGGTGTCCGTGGCCGGTGATTACAAAGTCACTGTCAGCGGTGGGGTGAAGAGCCATCACAACCCCTACTGGGCAGCGCTGAATCGTTCGTCTAAGGAAGGCGAGAAGTCGACGGCGGGCAAGGGAGGCATTCAGGCAACTACTCTAGTCACACAACAGGTCACGGTCGAGTCGAAGCAAGGGTCAGGAGAGCGGAGCCCGACAAGTGAAGAGGGCTCGAATGTGCACAGATCACACCAAACGTAACGTGGTCGATAGTTGAGCTGGCCACCCACCCATCACAACGCAATTAACCTCCGATTCTTTCATATGATTGAGGTACTTTTTGAACTATAGGGTCCATTAATATTTATTGGCAGACGCCTTCACTGAGCTAAATTTCTCTGGTCACTGAAATGCGCTTGTATGCATTCAACCGGTCGTTGTACCTACAGTCATGGCTAGCCATGTGCACGGCGCTCGGGGGTTACTAATCGTTTTCCTAGCATGGGATAGCATATTTGTTCTCCATACATCTTACTATTCAGTACGAGTCCACCACTGCCAGGTAGAGTTCCGATGGTTGTGCACACGACGTGACTGCTGATCCTCGGAGTCAACAAAAGATGCCGGCGTAGATATGTCATAGGTTCCTAAGGTCTCCATGAAGAGCTTCTGGTACATAAAAACCAACATGTGATTCATTTTCAACGGGAACGCTAATTTCGAGGAACATAGTAGCAAGTAGAAACACGCGGTCGGCCATTGCCCGGATTAAGCGCAACCATACCAAAAATTCTCCAAGGAGAGGAGGAGGGTCAGGGGGTGGAAACAGGTTAGGAAGTGGCGTTGACGTTTTTCAGATGCTCATGAACCCCTACTGCTCCTATCAGGAGCCCGCGCGGAACCATGGAACACGGGGTGCTTGGGGCCTGGGGACTATGGGAACGCGTATACAAGGGTTGCGAAGGGCCCTCCTAGCTGTGGAGGGCCAGTGATTAGGATGTGTTCTAACCCTATACTTTTCGTCTATTGCTTGCTGGCTTAGTGCGAAAGACCCCTTCACTCTGCTCAACCCATGCTCTGATAGCTCCTCAGGCTCATCGCGGCCAGATCCGCGGCATATTATCGGTCCGTCGTATTCATTGTACAGAGAATATTGAAGCCGTGTCGAGCTTGAATCCGCCAACACCAGTCACCGAATTCATACATTTGAATGGGTTCCATACATCGGACTTTGTATCACATCACAAATCAAGACCAGGAATAATCAAGGCGGTGAATATCTCGGTACATGAACAGACGATAAGAGGCTTCAAAGTTTGGTCCAGCACTAGGTACTAGAATGCACGTGCTCACTTGTTCCGCGAACTTTTGGTCAACAGACGCCTTTAATTATCGCACAGCTGGGTTTCGTCTTCTTTTAATGAATTCCTATTCGTGTAGCAGGATAAACCGGCTGAGAAGTCCGGCCCGGTAGCCGTCGGCTTGTTTGGCCACAGGTGGCACAAGGTTTAATCCTTTTCATACATTCGGTCTGACGACGAATCGACTCCCTTGCGCTGCTACTTGGTTATCAACTGACCCAGAATAATCAGGCGATGGTTGAACGGTGTAAAGACCCGAACATGTTGGTATGTTGGAAGCTAAGTGCTGTCTCGTTGACTAAGCCTCAAGACAAAATCTAGTTCACCGCCGAAAATACTGAACGGAAGCAGCACCTCCGTACCAACGGCCCCCAACACCCCCCCTGTCCATTTCCTGAGCAATCTCCGCTGTATCAAACGGATCTATCTCATACTTGATCACTGCTGCTCGGCTTCCTCTGAAACCTCCGCACTGTCATCGGGAGCACCCCGCATTGCCCCAGATGCCCTACCGGCATACATCGGGGGAATGTCCTCGCTGCTTTCAACCGGACGAATGACGGCACACATCGAACGCCCGGATGCGCTGGGCAGATGATGAGTCGCAGATGCCAGGGGCTGAGAGCATGACTGCCGATCTCCTTTAGATTAGCTCCAAATCATGTCAAAACACCGCGGGGCCGACCCCCGACAGCCAAGTCTGTCGGCCGAGCTGTCGATCGACGACATTTTTCCACCTTGGCATTTGGCCTGCGCGTTTACTGGGAGGTAAGAGTCGACCAGGACTAAGATCGTCACGACAAAAGCTGCATCGGACGTGGACCGCCCAACGGAAGTTCCGGCGTCCCTTTCGAACGAAGATCGACAAACTCAGCTATGGATCTTCTTCAAGACTATTGCAGCGTACTGAAAGGAAGTCGAGGCGTGAATATTCTGGGCGAAGATCTAGGATATCTGGGCGTTGCGATCGTACCTTGACCAAGAGACCAAGGCTCGCGAAGCTTTTGCCAATGTATCCTGAAGCGCCAACTTGAACGTACCAAGGCGATTTGCCGAAAAGTCTATAGAGGCCTGATGACCTACTGGAAACACGTCAGGAAAGTAAGAATGAAGCTTAAACCTGTCCTCTGACTCAATCTTGCAGAGCCGCGTGGCATTCGTCCGATTGAGCGAGCCCCTAGTTCCCTTGAGCCGCTCAACCCCTCAAGCCGCCAGGTTTGCCCATGTTGATTGTTTGGCACTCTGTAGCTCAAGTCGGGCCCAGTCTTACCAGCCGCACCTCCTTCGTCTGGACAACGCAGCGTTGGCAGGGATATGTCAGATGAAGCATTGCGTTCCGCCTATAGCTCAACATGCCATTTGCTGCTCACAATCCGGCCGATGCTGCTCTTTCCCACTTCTGTCCCGTGTCTTCGGAGGAGATCATGATGTTGGCGGCGGCCTTCGGACAAGGGAGCCATAACATGGTACGCGTGACTTTGTGCTGCGGGTACACAAATGGCATCACACGTACACGTAGAAGGACCTGAAGACGTGCCCCTGGATATTCGACAAGAGGCAGGCGACCAGTCGATCTGTCTCAGTTGCTCCACAAGATCGATATCAGTCTCTACTTTCCAGAATACCACGGTTATTATTGTCGATCTTTGACGGCGAACCGGACAGTCTTTCCACAACTTCGGACGGCTTCTGTCCGTATTATGATGGAGACAATCATGCTCAGAATAGCCGACAAGAGTGATAAAAGAAAGTGAAGGCCCGGTTTGAAACAGCTTTTCTTCACTCCTCAACCAGTCCAATAACCCCCTTCTCCAGTCCCTTCCCATCTCAGACCGAGAACACATTTTCACCATGAAGCAAGTCATTGTCACGAGTCTTTCCCTGCTGGCGACGGCCATGGCGCAGCAGGTCGGCACAGAGACCCCTGAGACACATCCTCCCCTGACCTGGAAGGACTGCTCATCCGGTACATGCAGCGATGTTCAGGGCTCCGTCGTCGTTGATGCCAACTGGCGTTGGGTCCACGAAGTTGGCGGCTACGAGAACTGCTACGACGGCAACGACTGGACCGGTCTCTGCACCGGCGCCGACGACTGCGCGAAGAACTGCGCGGTCGAGGGTGAGAACTATGCGACGACATATGGCATCACAACAAGTGGCAACGCCTTGCGCCTTAACTTTGTGACCGAGCACCAGTACGGCACAAACGTCGGGTCTAGGACCTACCTACTACAGGATGATGAAACGTACCAGATGTTCACACTGCTGAACAACGAGTTCTCGTTCACCGTTGACCTGTCGACGGTCGAGTGTGGCATCAACAGCGCGCTCTACTTTGTGCCCATGAAGCCTGATGGCGGCAAGAGCGACGAGCCGAACAACGCTGCAGGCGCCAAGTACGGTGTCGGTTACTGCGACTCCCAGTGCGCACGGGACCTGAAGTTTGTCAACGGCAAGGTGAGTGATGTCAAGCATCGTTTCCGTGCTATACTCTTCACCTCAGCGGCTAATACGCTCGCTTTAGGGAAACATTGAGGGCTGGACCCCTTCTGCAACCGATCCCGCCTCTGGTGTTGGCAATCTTGGTGCTTGCTGCGCTGAGATTGATGTCTGGTGAGTGACTTTGCCCTCATGTGCATGCCATGTCAGATAGTTGACCAGTTTCAGGGAGTCGAACGCCTGGTCGTACGCCTTGACGCCCCATGGCTGCGAGGACAACAACTACCACGTCTGCGGCGATGGTGCCATTGAGTGCGGCGGCACGTACTCGGAAGATCGCTTCGCTGGCAAGTGTGATGCCAATGGCTGCGACTACAACCCTTACCGTCTCGGCAACCCCGAGTTCTACGGCAAGAACAAGGTCGTCAACACCAATGAGCCCTTCACGTAAGTATCCCCCAACAAGCCCCCCCTGATTGCCCAGGCGACTCACCAGACCACTGCAGCGTCGTGACTCGATTCTCTCCCAATGAGCTGTCGACGACATTCATCCAGAACGATGAGGTCATTGTGGTTCCGGTGCCCAACTCGGAGGGCGTCCCCAGCGACAGCAACACGGTCAACCCGGAGTACTGCACAGCCTACAACATTGCGTGGGACGAGCGTGACAGGCAGGCCGAGATTGGCGGCTTCGGCGCCCTCAACAGCGCCCTCGCCCTGCCCATGGTTGTCGTTCTGTCCATCTGGGCCGATGTGAGTACACCCTTCAGAGCTCGACAGAGCGGGGGGAAAAGACAATGTCGTCTCCAGCACAGATTGACTGACATGATGTCGTAGCACTACGCCAACATGCTTTGGCTCGACTCGATCTACCCGCCCGAAGACCCCACCAAGCCCGGCGCGGCCCGCGGCGCGTGCCCCACGGACTCTGGTGTCCCCTCGGCCGTCATTGCGCAGAACCCGAGCGCGCACGTCGTCTGGTCCGACATTCGCTACGGCCCTATCGGCTCGACCTACGACATTCCTGCTTAAGTCGACCAGGCCATTCGTACTGTTTGGTGTGGACAGAGAGGGTGATGCATCGGACACAGAGGCTGGTTCTCAACCGGAGGACACATGGACTGTGGCACTCGCTTCCAACAAAATACATTCGGTATCATAGGGTTTCCCCGTTTTTCTACCTGCCTCTGCCCTCCTTTTTTTTTCTCTTTCTTTCTGATCCCGAGAGGATTGGAATGTTGTCATGTTATTTCTCCTTGGGGGCGAGGATTGCATTGTACATAGTTGGACAGGGATGATTGGGACGCCAATTCACGAGTCTTACCTGATGAACCTCGTCTGTGCTCGTAGCTGGCTGTCATGTTGGAAGGGCTGTGAATCTGCTCTTCACTTGGTGGAGTTAACACACCTGTGAACTGTTTGACAGCTCTTGTGGGCCTGTGGCCACCTTTCTGCACGGCGAGCAAAGGCAGAGAGTCCTTGACAGCCTCCAAATAAGGCTGTTGATAGCAGTTTATATAATGTTGGGGGTCAAGGGGTGAATACCACCAACATATAAGAGAGGCATTGTCATTCCCTCCCCTGACGTTACGCCGATGTGACAACAGAGACTGGAGAGAGAATGACATGCGCCACGATGGTATCAGCGCCACATGGCATGACAATCAGAAAAGGGCCCATTGGGCAAATTGGTGATTTCGTTTGACTACAAGGATGCACGTGATGTCCACCATGACAACTGCCGCATCTGCCCCAGAAGCGTACTCGCCCCACATGCCCCTTTCCAGGACAGCGGCTCCTCCAATGAGATGGATGATGGCGTAGATTGACCCCAATCTCCCAGTTCTTTCTCGGCCTCTCCACCAGTAGATGCTTCCTGCCCCGTGAAGCCTTCCGGGATGGGGGGTGACCACCTGGCACCTGCACTTTGCACTTGCACTTGCCACTTGCTTGGCTCGGCCTGGTCCAGAATCTGCATTGGCTCCCCAAGGCTCCTTCCTCTTCCTGGTATGGCACCTGGTCCGCGGTCGCGCTTGCCACACCACGCGCCGCGTCGTTCCTTCTCTGTCCTGTGCGTTGCCTCCATCCCTTTTGTGCACAGCTCACGAGCAGTGCACCAGAGCAGACGTCGAAATTAGATTATCCTCCTACCACCCAACTCCATCCATCCCATCCCGTACGCATTCCAACGACCAATTCGTCCCATCCTTCACCCCATCATCCATCTTGTCCAGCAGCGTCACACTCCTTACGTCTGGCTCTTTCCTTTCTTACACTCCTTTTCTCCTTTTGTGCCTTGGTCTGTCCTTGCTTCGTCGCTGCGCTCGTTGTCCGTCAATCCGTCGTCCCTCCTCCATACATCGATTTCCTCGTACCACACCGCACCACGGCACAGCACCATGCACCAGGTCTTGGGCCTGCATCATGGTCGCACGGTCGTCGCCTCCATCGGCGCCTTGGTCTTCATCCTTTTCGTGCTTGGCTTAGCCCACTATCAAAGCTTCGAGTTCCCCGCCTTGTGAGTCCGCCCACTGCCAGCGAGTTGCGAGTCGGCTGCCTACCTGCACCGCACTGCTGCACTGCACTCTCCCTGGTCGTATCGAGGGAGCCCCCTTCATCGCATCTCATCTCATCGCATCTCATCTCATCCCTACATTCCTGATCTCGTCACTAACCCCACCCGCAACAATAAGCCCCGGGCAGAACACCATCAACCCCTACGCGCTCTCCAAGCCCAAGCCAGGGGAGGAGGCTGGCGCCGACGGGCTCACCGCCAGTGATATCGTCAAGCTCCAGGCCTTCTACCTGGAGCAAATTGTCAAGCCATCCATCAAGCCCACCGATCCCGTCTACCGGCCGTCGGGCGCCTTTGAATGGAAGCTCCCCAAGCACATCGGCTGGCCGGAGCCTCTCGGCAAGGACCTCGTCATCCTCGACATGGACAGCCGCCCTCTCAACAAGACGGGCGAGATCTTTGGCAACCAGACCCTCAGCTGGGATAACACGACCGCCATCCACGGACCGTCTCTCGGCATTCTCCAGCACTGGCTCTATGGTACGCTCTGGTCCCTTTTTCATTCGGTCCTCTCCTCCGCTGTCCGTCCTCGGGCTGTCCTCATGCCTGTCCTCATGCCGTTCTCATGCCGTTCTCATGCCGTGCTCATGCCATTCTCATATCGCTCTCATGCCCATCCCGGGCTCGTCTCACCCTCCACTGATGCAACATCCATACTGACGCCATTACAGCCAAGATCCATGGATACAGGTACTACTACATCCAGACGGGCACTTTCCCTGATCGTCGCGACTCGTGGAAGAAACCCACCATCATCGGAAGAGTCACGTCCAAATACAAGACCTCTGTGTTTGCCGACTCGGACGCCATCTTCAACCACCTGGACCTGCCCTTTGAATGGCTGCTCAACTACTGGGACATCAAGAACGAGACGGACGCTCTGACGCTGGCGACTGACCCGAAAGCGAAGCACAACCGTGACGAGAAGGGCAAGCTATATGCCAACACGGGCTTCATCATCACGCAAAACATCCCCGTCACCTACGACATAATGAAGGACTGGTCCGAATGCGCCGACGTCGGCGGCAAATTCCCCAACTGCACCGACTACCGCGACAAGGCCGGCGGCCATCCCTCTGACCAGGGCGGATTCGGTAACTACATCCGCTACGCGTACAACGAGAGTGTGAAGGAGCTCCCGTGCGCCGAGGCCAATGGGTTCCCCGAAGACAGGTCCGAGTGCAAGGGCACCTTCATCAAGCACTTGTGGACAGGCAAGAATACTCACCTGAAGGTCGCGATTGGCAGCATGATCCCTGGCCGTTTCCTCCAAATCTTTCACGACCAGATGTTGAGTGAGAAGGAGACCTTCTACTTGACAGAGGATCAAATCATGCAGGAGAGCTGGACTGGCTGAGAGGAAGGGCCCCGCGACGTACGTGCAAGAGGCACATGATGATGTGTTGGATATGAAAAGTCATCTTTTTAGACTGGGTCTTGGATTGCCTATGGGTCTTTCCAGGTGTAATGATGGGAGTTTTCATGCCACTGGTGGCTTTCAGGACTTGGGATATGAATCCTCTGACACGTCACAGGAAGGCTTCGGCGAGTCACCGATTTTGTAATGAACTTGGTCTATATCCCTCTCTGTTAGCATGTTATCCATTCTTCATTTCTCGATAGCCCCTTTGGCACCCAACTCGGATTCTGACCCTCTCATTTCAAAATCGCCAACGCATTTGGTGGTGACGCTACTAGGCATGGGACGTTCAACGGCGACGACGTCAGCGTGGAACTGTAACGACCCTTTTCGCGACAGTACGCCGCCGGCGTGGGCAAATCTCACAGCTCACCAACCGGCATACTAACACTAGGCTTGGGGTGGTTACTGACTAAGTTCGTCAAATGAGCCAGCAGAGCCATCCCATCTCACTGGCGGCACGGCCTCAAACGCGATGGGGAATCTGTGCAACGGCGGCGAATCGCTTGTCCCAGAACCACTCTGCCGTCGCCTCGATGCCGTGCACACACGATGACTTCATCTGCGCCAGCTTGACCATATCCTCAGGTGTGGGGTTGACGAACTGTGGTGCCAGTCATCTGCAGAAACACAACACATCTCGGGGCCGGAACTCGACGCTGTGGTGCTTAGCCACCTGCTCGATTTTCCACTGGGATGCGATAGCCATCAAACGGATGATTTCTTCGGCGTATGACTTGAAATCTATCAAGACGCCGCGTGCGACCAATCCGCCCCGCGACTGCGGTTAATTCAACGTGGGCATAGTGTTCTCAAGGGTCAACGTGTGTGACATCTCTTGCCGCATCGACCGATTCCTGTTCTGTGCAGGCCCGTAGCCTGATGTTGCTAATGAACCAGCGAGTTCCACTGGCTGGCGCTCTGAGTGTTGAAGGCTAGCTTGTCGTCTCAGCTGATTCCACCTGAGACGCCTATATCGCGAAGGCTGGGTTGTGTGGGCGAGCTTGCGAAGGCCAGGCGGGGGAAATGTGCTCGAGGGCATCGAGCGGCCACTTACGGACCATTTGAATGGACCCGTCATGAGTGACAGTGATGGAGGCGGGATCAAATGTACTTGAGTGAAGTCGACACCCATCTTGGACTTCGGCGGCGGCGGCTTTGATTGTGGCTGTCGTAAGATGATTCAGTGTTTCAAACAGGTCTTTCTTGCCGTCCTTCTCAAAGACACCCCTGACACAGCCCCTTGGCATGCCGTCGACGGGAGGCAGGTCGTCGTAGGTCGGTACACCACATCCAACACCATCCGCCATACGAGTGGTGTGGGGGGCAGCCATGGACGAAGGTGTCTCGATGCATTCACCCAGCGACACGGTCTCTGGAGCTCGGTAAAAAAACTCACTCACTGGCTAACGCTCACACGGGAACGAGTTCGACCACCAGACGTGTCGATCATCATGGCCCATTGGCTGAGGTGACAGAGTTGGGGACATGCTGTCGGGCTATCTGTTTCACCGACCCTTCGTTCCCGAGGGCGGCATGCATCGCTTCCGCAGCTCAGTTCGGCTGCGCATGCATGGTATTGGACCGCGACATTGAAGCAACCCTTCTCAGGCCTTTTAATTCTTCGCTGGGGTTGCAGCACGACGGCGGGAGTCCATGGACTTGCTGTCATATAACCTGCATAAGACGGAACGCAGACGCTACGCGCATCCATATCGACCGACGAGTCCCGCATCTCTCCGTTACAGCACCACAGAGCTACGAACACGAATACACAGTACTCGGTATGAAAGGGCAAGTCTCGGAGTCGAGAAGTCCCCCGAGGCGTCCCACCTGCAGAACCCCCCCGCGTCATCCCCGCAGCGTTGTCCAGATGGTGCAGTCGATCTGGACGAGAGCTTCCGATTTGGGCGAGATCGGCATCGAAACCCGGCAGTGCCTAGCTCTAGGTGCACAGCATTCATCTAACCTGGCAAGCAAACGGGTTACACGAGATGGCAGACGTAACGCTCAGGGACCTAGATCCCCTTAGCAACTCCTACTTTGATGGAAGTACCCTCCCGCACGGCATGCTTCTTGATATACTGCTTCTAGCGATTTTACGTCTGCCTTTTTTTCTTTCTGCAATGTGGTTACATGGTTCCTGACTCTCGAACGTCGCGGAGGTGCTCCTCGCTTTCGCACCGCAGCATGATTCCCTAAAATTGCCTTTCTTGCTTGAAGCTAGGACATGTAGCGTCGCACTCATGGCAGAAAGGAAACTTTGTTTCAAGAACGAGTACGAACGCGCGTTCAGAAGTGCTCACCGTGCCCCCGCTTGGATCACGTCTGCGGAGGCTGCAGGACCACGAAGGCGTCGAACGCAACTAGGCGCCAGTTCGGCACGCCTAGCGAGCTGCTGCGAGACCCAGGGTTCTCGAGGCAAAAGCTTGTTCGCGCTTCAAGTACAGGCGCACCTGGGCTTGGGGCACAGGCATACCTGTATCATGGGGAACCAACTGCTTTTAAACCTTCTAGTCTCGGTGTCAGTTGGAGAGAAACAAGGCATTGCACGCCTTATCCTTGTTGATCTTTTAGATAACGTCCTTTGCCTGCTTTGCCGCTGCAGGACTGCCACTGAAAACAAACCGCTAGACTCGACAGGAAATCATGGGTGACGCCAGTGAGCCGGAGGCGCAGCCCAATGCCGAGACGGCACTCGACTTCGCCGCCGTGCAAGCCCGCTACGCGCAGGAAAAGGCAAAGCGCCCCCACCCGGAGGGTGTCGAGCAGTACGTCGAGCTCACCAGCTCGGATCAGCTCCAATCCCTCGCTTCGGACCCTTGGGTTGACCATGACGCGCTCAATGCCGAGCCTCCATCGCTCCGCGACGGCGATGACATCAAGGTTCTCATCCTCGGCGCGGGCTACGGCGGCCTCCTCTACGCCATCCATTCCATCCAGCAGGGCATCTCACCGTCTGACATTCGTCTCGTGGACGCGGCCGGCGGCTTCGGCGGCACGTGGTACTGGAATCGATTCCCGGGCCTCCAGTGCGACACAGAGGGGTACACGTACATGCCGCTTCTCGAGGAGACGGGCTACGTACCCAAGCACCGCTTCTCGTACGGGCCCGAGCTGCTCGACTACGCCGGCGTGCTGGCGGACAAGTGGGACCTCCGCGACAAGGGCGTGTTCCGATCGACGGTGCGAAGCTACGACTGGGACGCCGACGCTGTGCGGTGGATCACCAAGATCCGGCAGGGCCGGGGGCCAGGTCAGGCCGACGTGGAGATGACGGTGCGAGCACAGTTTGTCGTTGTCGCCAACGGCGTGCTCAACCACCCCAAGGTCCCGCGCAGCCTGCAGGGGTTCGAGGGCCCGACAACGCACACGGCGCGCTTCGACTACGGCATCACGGGCGGCGGGCCGCGCGACCAGCAGCTGACCAAGCTGCGCGGCAAGAGGGTCGGCATTGTCGGTACGGGCGCGACGGCCGTCCAGGTGATCCCCGAGCTGGCCAAGTACGCGGGCGCGCTGTACGTGTTCCAGCGCACGCCATCGGGGGTGACGCCGAAGCACCAGCGCGAGACGCAGGCCGCGGACTGGAAGGCCATGACGGCTGGCGAGCCCGGCTGGCAGAAGCGGCGCATAGAGACGTACTGCGCTGTCATGGCGGGCGAGCCGGGCGTCGAGGACACAATCCGGGACGGGTGGACGCAGGCCAAGGCGTTCAGGGCGCTCATCGGCGGAGCGCACGACGCGCCGCTCGCGATGGAGGACGTGCCGGCGCACATCGGGGCGCTGCTCGCGCTCGACGCGCCGCGCACCGATGCCATCCGCAGGCACATTGACGACGTGGTCGAGGACAATGCGACGGCCGAGGCGCTCAAGGCGTGGTACCCGACGTGGGGCAAGCGGCCGACCTTCAGCGACAACTACCTCGCGACCTTCAACCGGCCGAACGTGCACCTCGTCGACACGGACGGCAAGGGCGTCGAAAAGGCGACGGCGACGGGCCTCGTCGTTGCTGGCAAAGAATACCCCATCGACGTCCTCGTCCTCAGCACGGGTTTCCGCTCGCCGGCCGCCGGCCTCGGCGAGCCCGGCACGGCATCCAACATGACGATCCGCGGCCGCGACGGCCGCCTGCTTGCCGACAAGTGGGAGGCCCAGGGCCCGTCGACGCTGCACGGCGTGCTGACGAACGGGTTCCCGAATCTCTTCCTCTCGGGCCCCATGCAGACGGGCGCGTCGGCCAACTTTAGCCACGTGCAAAACGTGCTGGCCGAGCACTGCGGCTACATTCTCGGCGAGGCCGTACGTCGGGCCGCCGCGCGCGGGCTGGCTGCGGACCGCGTTGTTGTCGAGGCGACGGTCGAGGCCGAGGAGACTTGGGCCGGCCGGCTCATGCAGCGGGCGGCGTGGTTCGCGGGCGCGGGTATCTGCGCACCCAGCCTCAATAACAACGAGGGCTCATTGGGGGCAGACCCGGCATCGCACATGAAGATGGCCAGGGGGGCGCCGTTTGCGCTCGGTATGAACGCTTACTCGCGAGAGATCGGGTTGTGGCGGGAGGAGGGTACGATGAAGGGGGTGGACGTCTCGTAGGGCGTGTCGTGAATTGCAACGACGAGGAAGTTCTGGCTGTGAGTGTGCGTTTCGTTTTGCTCCGCGAATACAGATCATGTGTCCCCAAACCTGGATGAATAGTATATCCATCCAACATATCAACATGACATGTCTGTCCTGGCCAACACGCGAACAAGGGTGAAGGAAACGATGCTTCATTGAAATCATGCTAGCATTTGCATTGACTACCCGGCCACGCCCAGATCCCTCAGAAAGACAGGAAATCGGTTATCTTGGATCCGCCGTCTAGCTGATCGGCCTGCTTGCGCAGCACATCGGCCCTGAACCGGCGGAAGGCCGTCTCGATGCGCTGTCTGCTCTCGGCG